CCGAAGGTGGCGTAAGGATTAGTTCAACTGTTCATAACTACAACCATTGGCCTTCAAAGATAACTGGAAACTACAGAAGATTGGATGTTGATCTGTGTCAAAGAACGTGAAAGAAGCAAGAAATTTTATTCAGTAAGGAAGGAAGCCAAAAAGTTCAAAATTGAGTTTCAAATGTATGAAGAAATGCAAGTAAAGCATAATAATCCGACTGCAGCTGTGAAATACTTAAAAAAGAAAGCAAAGGCAAATTCAACCGACTAGATACAGAAACGATGGTAAGATAAACCGCTTCACGGTCAATACTCTTTCCGTAGCAAACAAGATGATGTAGATAAACCCCGTACCCATCAGTAGCTACGTAGTTCAGGGTTAAAAGATGAAATCGAAGGTTTTATTCTTGGTGTACAAGACCAATGCTTGCTAAATAGAAATTACCAAGCACACATTCTAAAAAGTTTTGTTCGTCAAAATGCAGATTCTCTGATAAATATCCAGAAACAATTCATCAATTTGTATTAGCACCCATTGAAAATAAAACCCGGCATAAGAAAGTGGGCCAATATCTACACTGCAAAACCTGCAACTTTTACGGAAGGAAACTGCAAAAAAATTATGAACACCACCCAGACACAATTATGAATATATGACCTAATGATTAGAGACCACAAAACAAAATGTGTTTTCTTATTGACATGACAGTCCCTGCAGATTGCAATGTCTCCCTGAAAATCTTCAAGAAATACAAGGACTTTGAAATCGAAATCTCAAAAATGTGCCACATGAGGACATCAACAATTCCAACTCTCGGATTGATTGGAAAAGATTCTAATAGACCCATTGAATGGATTCCTGGTAGCCCATGCCTCAAAGTAATAGAAAAAATTGTTATCACAAGTACAGCCGACACCTTACGAATGGCTTTATCTAGGTAACATGGAAAATATCGTGATGACAGTCTCTGGTCGGGGACCCGGAAAGAAATGAATATATACCAGAAATCAAAAGAAATAATAATAATAATAATAACTTCCATTAATATGCATTATTACACATATTAGTTGGATGGTAATGGAATAGTAGATTTTTATTAGATTTTTTTCTAATTTTCGAAGAATATACTATATATCAGGATAGAACTTATGTATAAGCTGTCTGAAGTTCATGCTTGCACTGTTGTATTTGTTCAAGAACTTTCGGCCTCTTCCCAGTCAATATCAAGCATTGTGTGCGGTCTGTGTGGTAGGTAAGATCCACCTTATAGAGAGCTGAATGTTTGAAACAGTCCAAAGTGATCTCATGTGTAACGGTTAAAGGGCGCGAGACCACACCAGAAAGAATGCAGAAAACATTATGCGTTTTTTTTTAATAAATTTATATTCAACATATCATTTTCTGTGGTGAAATTTTATTTAATGTCGATTGTTTATTTTGTATAATAATAGCTTCTGTATTTTGCGTCTTTCCTTGCAATGGGTTCTGTAGGGTATTTTTGATTTTATTTACTAATATTTGTCTTATGTTGATAGTTGTATTTTGGCCGTTCATAATATGTTGATCGATATGTGCACGGACATGCACTGAATTTCGACAAGTAAAAGAATAAATCAACTCATGTGTGGACTATATTAGAATTTAATATTATTTCCAGGAGAATGCATCTCCAATAAAAACAATAGTCGATTTTTTAGACATCTTTTTCAGAAGTTAATATTTCCCTCCTCTGAATGCATCTGTGGAATGTTTTAAGAATTCATATGTAGGAAATAGAAGATTAAGAGAGAAAAATAATTTATTATGGTGAAAATGTGCTAAAAAAACTACACTAAATTAGAAATCCTATATGGTAAATTTATGTCCAGTATCATACAATATATCTCTACACAAATTACTGATGATACAATGTGGGATAATATAAAAAACTAAATAAAAACAATGAAAATATGCACAATAAGATGAGTCAAGTTAAATGCATCGAGCGGCGAAAATATGCAGATTGTGTGCTGTCATCATCATAGTCTATTATTTTATCATAACACCTGCATGTTCGGTCGCTGTAATCTACAGGAATCATTTTTCCGGCTGCACCAACGTGACAGTTCCGATTACAACAGACGCCTCTTTGTGTTTGCTCATAATAATTGTAAACGTCTACTCAAAAAGGCTAATTATTTGTTCGCTGACAGAATGTAGCACCAAATAGCTTCTAATAAATTTTGTCCTCGTTGTGGCTCTGTAATAGTGTGTTAAATAAAAGTCTTCTATTTTTCCTCTCTTCACCCAATATGCGATGTTATCATCTGACTCTCTGTTGAGTGACATGCATATAACTTCATCCATAGTTCTGCTATCATAACTAATGGATTTGATGGTATCCATACACTAGTGCTTAAGAAATGTGCCTCTAAACTCTAAACTTTACAATAAATGCCTTTCTATTTCTGGCTTTCTTGCTTGATTGAATCCCTCTTCTGTAGTTGTAGTCATTAAGAAAGGTGAACCATCTGATCCTTCTAATTATTGTAACTGCGAATTAACTTTTTACTTTATTTTGGCCAAGTACTAGATGTTCTAATCAACTCCGAATTGGTTAAGCATCTTACCTCGTAGAGTGTTCTTTTAGATAATCAATATGGCTTTCGCTTTTGTAGGTCAACTGCTGATGTGTAAACTATTATTGCTGAAAGAATCTGTCAAGCTTTAGATAAGAATGGTGAAATTCAGATTGTTGCTTTGGATATTTCAGTGGCGTTTGAAAGAGTTTGGCATGCTGATCTTCTTCATAAGTTGACAGGTTATGGCATTTCTAGATGAATTTTGTATATTTCTTAATGTATTGAATCTTTTTCATCAAATGGCGAAATGGAAGTTGTTTTCAACAGCCACTCTTCTATATTTTTTTACTTTAACTCGTGTGTTTCCCAGGGCTCTATCTTTGGAAAATGTCCCTAATTTTCATTTACGATCTTCCCAATATCACCAGTTCTTAACTTGATATCTATACCACAAATATTTGCTCCTGTATACTTGGTAAATTTGATCTGTACATTAAGGTTAAATTGGCAGCTGATCTAAAAAAATGACTTACAGACTGTTGTTAACTTGGCCAACGAATCCCCTGTTAAAATTACTCTCTTTTAATTCTGCTAGAGAACTTTTTTTGTTTTCCATCAGCATTTCGAGGAAAGCAACGAATTGCACCTTCTCAGGCTAACGTTTTCCGATGATATGAAGTCGAGAGATTATATTGAATTAGATTAGCTGCTTGAATGTTGGTTCACTATGTTATATTTTACAATTTTTCTCGACAAGAATATATATTATACATTTATAATTCTACCATTCGTCGATGCATTTAACATTGCGGCCACAACTGGTCTGGTGCCTCTGCTGTGTATTTACAGATTTTTTGCTAAATAAAATCACAGATTCTTACCATTGTAACATAGCTTCCCTGTGCTTAAATACTTTCATTGTAATTGTTCTGATGAACTTACCTAAACTCTATGAATTTAAGCGTAGCACTAGATAGTCAGCAAGGTCTCGTCATTTTACAATTGAAATTGCAGGATGTAATCGTAAGCTAACAGCTTATTCTTTCGCACGTCTCACTTTTATAGATCTCTCTTCTGGCAGTTTTGGTCTTCAATGATTTAAATTCATTGTCAATCGTTATCTTTTGCCTTCTTAATCCATGTTCTTTGTTCTCTTTTATTAATAATGTTTCTCTTTTTCTCATATTTTTCCACTTGTGTCTTAGTGGCTTTATTGTTTTGACTGGTGTGAAATGATTAAAAAAGAAACTCTCGGGGCTGATACATTCTTCTGCTGTAAAATATTAATGTTTCTCTTTGAAATGCCCTGAAATTATCTATATTTTTCTCATTTTCTTTATTTTGGATATGCGTACATCGTTAAGGTTATCGGCACGAAAAGAAGAATCAAAGCGTCGAGTTCAAAGTCCAACCTCGACTGTTAGGCTCGTTTTGATAAAATACTCCTAGAAAAGGCATCAATACATATGTTCCCTTTGTTCAAATATCGGTTGAATAGTAGACTCTGGGTTCTAGCTTTGGGTTGTAGTCAATGTAGGAGAAATTAAACTCTGAATTCAAAACTGTGTAGAAAGCAAAGTTCATTATTTTTCTCAAGAATCATAGACATTCACCAATGGATAAAGGAAAGGAATATGTGAATAGACATGATTGTTTTAGTACTAAAAAACCATGATTTAAAATGGTTTATTTAGCATAAATAAAAATATAAATAAATAGAATATGACTGTATATTCACAACATTTAATTTTTTTTTTATTTTTAAGTCATACACTGTTAAAATGACAAAAACATAACAATTTTTTTTTAGAATTTTAGAATCGTGACATCAAACTATCGTATCCAATATCTAGAGTTTTCCTGTCTGACTCCGGCTTCTTCATAAATGGAAAATGTATATTAATTAGTAGCAACATCTGGGTCGTGGATCACACGCTAATGCACAAAATGTTTCCCCATCTTGAATTATGGCGAAATGCTCAAACATGGCTGACTTCATGGGAATTTCTTTCACGTGAATTTCTATTTTTAAAAAAATTATTAAATAAAATATTTTCCTGGAAAAAATTCAAAACTATTTAAAAAAAAATACTACTTCCGTTATTTTAATTGCAAGACTCCTTGTTGATGTATTTGATCCTTAAACTAAAATTACAGAACACGGAAATAAGTAGTAAGCTCAACGAGATTCGAACTCGTATTCTTTATATATGAAGATTGACGCTCATTGACGATACCTTAACCAAATTAGGCCACTACTTCACTTAAGTAACACTAAGTAAAATAAAAGCAGAAATAAATAATTAATTCTTAAAACTTAAATTCACATAGAATATTGTTACAAGAAGTTTTTTGTTTTGAAACTTGTGTTGCAGTTGGTGCAATTTTGCAGACTGCAAAAACAATGATTAAGACTCCAATTATCATCTTAGGTTTTCAACTTTACAGATCGGCTTCGTTTCAAGATTTTCTTTGTTTGTTTGTTTCTTTCTTTGTTTCTTTCTTTCTTGTTTGTTTGTTTGTTTGTTTCTTTCTTGTTTGTTTGTTTGTTTGTTTGTTTGTTTCTTTCTTTCTTTCTTGTTTCTTTCTTTCTTTCTTTCTTTCTTTCTTTCTTTCTTTCTTTCTTTCTTTCTTTCTTGTTTGTTTGTTTGTTTCTTTCTTTCTTGTTTGTTTGTTTGTTTCTTTCTTGTTTGTTTGTTTCTTTTCTTTCTTTACCCGTTAAGAAATATGTTCGAAATGCACCCAGTACATATAATCAAACTTTCAACTTGATATTAAACTTTTTCTGTTTTTTTTTACAGCTCAACGGGTGTTTAACGAACATTATCTTTATTATCATAAAATCAGGCTTTTATATTATTATTGATGATTTCTATATAGTAGGATATTGTTTTTTTTATCTTCAGCATACATTTTTATTGTTTTTTTTATGTATCATTGATATCCAGTTCCTCCACCATCTTTCGAAACATTTTGGCATCATTTCCAGCGCCCTAACAACGACTGGTACAACTGTCACGTTTATGTTGCATAATTTCTTCAGTTTTCTGTCGAGAATCAGATACTTAACCAGTTTTTTCATCTCTTTTAATTTTAATCTGTTGTCTCCTGAAACAAGGAAATATTATCTGCCATTTTTTCTCTCTATGATCATGATAATTACATCGTTTACTGGCCTAGATCGGGTGATGCGTTTCAGTCTCAAAATCCCATTGGATTTGGTGTTTTACGTAGTATAAGAAAGATTCTGGTTTGTGCACATGTCTGGTATGTAAAGACCAATCTCAGTCATTTTTACAAACCCCAATGGATAACCCTCCTCAACATTTCATATCTATTTTTATAATCTTACTGAAATAACTTTTTGTCTTCACATAATATTTCTTTTTCTCCCGTCTTATCTATCTTGGTTATTACATAATCTTTGTTTTGGGCTGCCATTAATAGCATTTCGGTTTCTCTCTGTATATTTTCCTTATGGGATCTTGTCCGTATAGTTTCATCTATTCAGTTTTTCTTCGAAAATGTACGTTCAGTTATTTAGTACCTCCAATTTTAAAATTATCATTTTTAGCATTTCTAATTTCAGTTAGTCTTACTATCTGTTTTCAATGAAATTGCATGTTCACATTTTGTTCTTTTACTTCTTTGGCAAAATACACATTATTATTATTATTTCCATTTATGTTATGGTCACACTACGTACCAAGTCTGCGGGAAGACCCAAGGCAGGTAGTGGTGTGTTGTCATGTCTACATTTCATGATTTGTTTTTCTAACTTCCATAACATCACCAGCGTTACATGGACAAAGTTCTTAGTGTGTAGGCTGTATTTATCAAGACAAATTTTTTGTATTTCTCTTAAGCTGGAATTTCCAGTTTATTTTTTCAATGTGTTGTTGTTTTACTTTTTTATCATTCTAAGTGCCACTACTATGCCTGGTACTATGCTTGTTTTGAATTTCCACATTTTTTTCTATTTCGATATTTATTCAAATTCTTTGTTGATATGGCACAGTCCACTGGTCAAGCCATATCAATTAGTAGACAAGTTTTTTCTTTTTGGTTTTTGACAATTATGTCCAGCATATTTGCTTCAATCTTCCTGTCTATAAAGATGGTGTAAATTCATAGAAATGTGATGTCTTCTATTTCTGTAACCGGTGCTAGATAATGTTAATACAAGTGTAAACACGGTTGTTAACATTTTTCCAAAGTGTTTGCACATTGTCCAGTGTAAATATTGCTCCACTTTATGTTGAAAATTTTATTATTATTATTATTATTGTTAATTTGTGTTTCCTGCATTTTCATACACCAGCCATAGTGGTTGTCTTTGGGCATCAAGTTATAGCAAGTTCCTTATATTCTTCTTCGCCGTCGTCATTCTATACTTACTGAATTTTCCTTAACAATATTAACTGGCAACGTATGTTACAAATTAAGTGACAGCAAATATCCTCATTACTTCAGCAATTCAGTGTCCTAATTGTTTTCAGTAATGTTATCCTCTATAGATGGTTTAAATTCTGAATCCGTTTGAATCTCACAATCCTAGAGATTTTATAGTACATTATTCTCCACGAAAGATTCTAGTATGAGCACATAACATTGTGTTCAATGGTAAAATCCTAGATCATTAGATCACACTGCACACCCAGTCATATCAATATTTGTAATCCTTATTTAATATATTCCTACATTCAACTGATTCTATTTGTTACATATATGTCTTCTTTATCATGGTCTTTGTATAATTGTTTCTCAAGGCAGTATTCGCTCTCTTTTTTATACGGAGTCGTGTTCATTTATAATTTTTTTTTAAAATCATTTCGCACCAATAAAGCAATAGAACCACTAAAACGCAACGATTTGGTGAGATTGAAATAACTTTAAAACGTTATTGAATAGAAAGGACAATAAAAGATCCGAGTTAAAAAAAAATGCAAGGGACGATTAAGCTTGCATTTAAATTTTTGTAGATCGTAATTGACAGGAAAGCAAGAAGCCGAGAAGCAAGAAGTGCGAGAGAAGAAATTATTAGAATAAAACGTATTTTTACATTTATCAAATTCAACTGTAAATGGTGATACCTTGCTTCTAATCTCGTACTACACATATGTTCGGGAAGCTGATGTATCAAAGAAAATGCTCATCAGAACAATTATCATGGAAGCTATGTTACGGCAGTGGTAAAGTGACTAAAGTCGGAACCGATATTTGAAGATTCTTCTTTGGATTTGGTTCTGAATCTCTAGACACAAAGTAGAAACACAAGTCCAGATGTGACAACAATATTCAGCGCATAAATAGTAAAATTAAAAAAGTTCAAGATAGATTCTGGCCATAAAAATTGTCTACCACAGCAAAGTGAGTCAACTTTCCTTGCAGCTGAATTAACAACTGATCCAATAAAATGAATTTTTATACAAATCTGTTACTACTGATGTTGCCGATATTCAAACTCTCCAATTTTCAATTGCTCAATCTCTAAGTTTAAAGTTTAGTTTGCTTGCTCAAATGCTCTTATATCTATATTTGTTCGCATTGTTGGAGTATATTGCTGCCGTTAATTGTTTTGCAAGTGTTCATTATTTTAATTAGTTTATTGAGATGAGCGCAAGTAGTGTAACAGCTGAACAGAGTTCAAATTTCAGCCTAGTCAGCTGCATTCACTTTCGTCGCGCAAATGCACTTGCATGAACTCTTTTTCTACCTTTTCCCCTCAACGATGGATTAAATTGCAGTGTAGGTTGGACTTTCTAGCCTTGCATAAGAATCAGTCTAGGAAAAAGATTACTCTGAACTGAATGAGCGTGGATAATGCAATGGGAAGCCAGTATCTTTCACAATAAGTTATGGCAATTCACACATAATAATGTAACCAAGAATCGGTGAATGGGGGGGGGTATGATCGTCTACATGCTGAAAAACAAAAACATAAATACTAGTCTATCGTTATTATTGGCTGATGTTATTCTCAGGACCGTGAGAGTAAAGTCGATGTACTCTTTAATTTATTATTTTGTCATCATTGCCGATTTTGTTGTTGTATTGACTGAAGATAGAATTATTGTTACCCATGATTATTTTGAAGAAGAAGAAGAAAGAAAATAGAAAATTAGCGAAGAAGTAGAATTTACAACGAAGAATAAGTAGAACAAATGAGAAAGTAATGTAGAAGAATAATGTGAAGAAAAAGAATTAATATATTAAAATCGAGGAAAAGAGAAAGAATAATACAATATTTAAGAAATTAATTTAATTACATTTTTGTAAGAAAAAAGCAGAAAGCAGAAAGGAGGACATGTCGAGAAAGTTATTGAGTGTATTTTTTTTTTATCGTAGCATAAAAAATGAAAAAAGAAGAAAAAAGAAATAAGACGTCATCAAGTTTTATAAAAAAAAATACTTTTACCGTTGGGTTTTCAACCGCGACATTTGAAAAACTATTCCACATGTCAACAATCCGAACTGAGAATATATTTCAGATTTTTAGTTTTCTACAAGTTCTTCCCTCTTCCGTTAATTTCCTCTGGTAAGATAATCAGGCGTAGACCACTCGAGCAAATTCCCAGGGTCTTTCCTTTAGAAACCATTTAAAGTTTCATAACTTTAATATCCCATCACCATTTTATTAAAGTGTGTGCGTGTCTACTTGTGCGAGTTATTGTATATCAAAGTTGTTAGGGTGAAATATCAAATCACCATCTATTACTGTGAATGTGTTTGTATAGGCGTACTTACGCACAATTTATCATAGAATATTACAGTTTGAATGATACATACATACATACATATATATATATATATATATATATATATATATATATATATATATATATATATATACATATATATCTTATTTCTTTATATATTTATATGTATATATATATATATATATATATTTATATATATATATATACATACACACATATATATGTGTGTGTATGATATATATATATATATATATATATATATATATATATATATATATATATATATATATATATGCACACACAGACACAAAAATATATATAAAGCGATAATATATAATTTATATTCATATGAGTACACAAAGTTTTATAATATTAATACCAGTAACTGATTGCAATTGGAAGATCTAACCTTCAATGAAGATATATACATGTATATATATGAATAAAAAGCCAACGTGTTTCATCCTCTGATTGACTCTATCAAGGCAAATACACACGCACACAGACACACACATAACACCCACACACACATATATATATAGTGAAAAAAAAGAAAGAAGAAAATAAATACAGAAAGAAAGAAAGAAAGAAAGAAAGAAAGAAAGAAAGAAAGAAAGGAGGGACAGAGAAAGCGCTGTTATTTAGATGCACATTAATTTGTAAAAATTCCCTTCTGAAATATATTTTTCTATTTCAAATATATAACAAAACATTCGATTCCACTACTTCGTAATAAACAAATTTACATTTAAATCTCAACAAATATAGAGACCATTTTCCTTCATGAGATTCTATTTCTGATTGGATGATGAAGACTGAATTAAATCGAAACAAAATTTTCTTTATTTTCGATGCTTCTAATAAATACTAAATTAGTTTCCAACCATTAATTTGTCTCCAGTTTCCCTCTTTTCTGTTAGTGAAGTGACAAGAAATATAAGTGTCTAAATGTTGACCGATTTTGTTTCGTTAATTCATGTAGAACATGTTTTTATAGGTTATG